TTGTTAAATTTTGAAAATTATCTTTAAGTTTTTCTAATACTATTTATTTTTTTAGTTTAAGTTGGAAATTTAAAATTTCAATACTATAATCAATTAATTAATTTAATATAAAAAAAACTATTATACTTAATTTTTTTTACTACAAAAAAGGCCATGTTGATCGGGGGAGTTTTGTAAGTGCAATCTGGGAACTTAGATTTATACAAAAAAAAAATTGTTATATTGAAATTTCTAAATGCTTAATGTTATATAAGATATGAACCTTTAGGAGACATTCTATAGAATACTAGGTTTTCATATGGAAACCATTATATCTTCATGATTGTTAAAAATGTTACCTGGAAATGTGCTATTTCTATCAGTCCAGGGCCGTAGGTTCGTTTCCTATCAAAAACATTGTTTCTTCGTATTTTGATTCGTAAGAAAAAGCTTTCGAAACTCAACACTACATCTTATGCGCAGTACATAAGGAAATTCTCTAAATCGGCTTTATTCTAATCGTAAAATTAAATATATTTTGATGAAATTATAGAACTTGTCCGCTATTACCGTTTTTAAGAGCAAATTCCAAGCCAGAATCTACTTTTAAAAACCTTAATCACTTTAGAACAACGATTGGACTTGCCAATATGAATGGGAATAGCAAGATATCGAGAAAACTTTGGTAATCAGAAACTCAATACTGTTTAAGGACATCTTCACCTTTAAGTGATTGTCTATTGATCGCGGTTGTATGGTCTAAGGGGAAAGAAATTTATCGCCCTTATTCTGCATTTCAATTCGAATCGAAATTTTCTCTGTTTGGCAACTTTGGTATTCTGTATTTTGATTCGACTCTCCGCCACATAAATAACAAGCATTGAGACGACATGGAATTGCTTCTTCTTTTTCTTACAATTAAGTTTTTTGTTATTGGAATACCTTTTTTCGATCGAATCGTAATCGAAATGCAGATTAGAGGTGTATATAACGTATTGTCGAAACTCAAGAACATTTCTATTTCACAATATGCAATATCATCACCCTAGTACATTACTTGGGACATTGCGGAGCAGGTATTTAATGGTCCAGTACCTCTAGTCTGCCGGGACTATAAACTGGTGTTTACATTTCACCTAGGCCTAGTCCTTGCATGAATTGAAAAGAGGTCTAACCAGAGCACCACATACTCTGGTACTACGGGTGGCCAGTTGCCCACAGGACTTGTCCTGGCTGGTCAGTTGGTTGAGGTTGCTTCATGATCCACGTAGTGGCTGTAGTTGAAACCTAAATTGCAGATAGATACAAACTACAGAGCATGACGTATGGTGATAGAGGACGACTACTGCTAACAATTTTTTAAGATATTGCGTAGAAGAAAGTCCTTCAAACTGTTCTGTTCCAGCAGATTTAATATTCGAATTGTCTGTTATAGAGCAACTTGTTCATAAAGTTTCCTTGACAGAGAAACCGTTCGATTTATAACAGTTTCCATTGACGAACTTTACTGAAGAAGAACTAGGTGCATTTCGGATCATAGATTCATAACAGTTTCCATTGACGACCTTTACTGAAGAAGAACTAGGGCCATTTCGGATCATAGATTTAATATTCTTTGGAATGATGAGTTTTATAATAAAGTTTGAAATGAAAGACAAACGAAAACTGTCAGTGATTAACGTCTACAGATATCATTTGTTCGCCTACTGCTAAACATTTCAAGTCTGCAAATGACAAATCTTATCTCCGAAAGAAAGGATAGAGACTATCTGCTAAACTTTCCGTGGGTACAAGTTTGAAGTTTGGATTCCGTTCGATTCATACAGTTTCCATTGACGGCAAATTTATTTGACTTATTTGCAAAGTAGGACGACTACCACTTCATTCTAGCAGAATAGTGGAGTTATTTGCTCAATGAGTTTCTTATTTGGTGGAGAAACCGTCCGCTAGTTAAATAGAACTTGTGACCTTTTGGATCAAGGATTCGGTGTTCTTCGGAATGATGAGTAAGTGTTGTTGTGACAGATTGGCTGTGGAATAACTTCCGATTGATATTTTGTTGTTGTTGTGAGTATGTGTTGTTGTTGTAACAGATTGGATCTGACTGGATGTTCTTCCCTGGGAAAACACTTCCGATTGATATATTGATGTTGTTGTAAATAAGTATTGTTGTTGTAACAGATTGGCTGAGACTGGACGTTCTTCCCTGGGGGAAAAAACTTCCGGTTGATACAGCTGCTGCTGAGTTGACAATCTTTGGCTGATTCCCGGAAGTTCCGGAGCGAGTATCCAATTGTGGTTTGAACGCATGAGTAAATGTAGTTTGCAATAAAGGATGATCTGCGAAATTTTTCTTAGATAAACATCTTTAGAGAACATTTGGACATCTTCAGGGAAGATTTATTTCAGGGAACATTTGCAGCAGAAGTCGTACAAATGGTCTCTGAATATGTCTGTCTGTGAACGTTTTGTGGTTAACGTGACAACTAGCTTACATCATACTCTAGTCTAAGTACATATTAAGAAGACATTCGAGAAAAAGTTTCATATCTAAATAGTTTTAAAATATATCTTGTTTCAATGCTTTAACTATTTGCTCAAAACTTTTCGATTTCTCAAAAATCGCATGAGTAAGTAATGAAGGATGATCTGCGAAATCTTTCATAGATGGACATCTTCAGAGAACATTTGGACATCTTCAGAGAACATTAGCAGCACGTTTTTAGGGAAGATTCATTTCGGAAAATATTTGCAGCAGAAGTCGTACAAATGGTCTCTGAATGTGTCTGTCTATGAAGATGTCCATTGGCACGTTTTGTGGTTAACGTGACTACTAGCTTACATCATACTATAGTCTAAGTATTAAGAAGACATTCGAGAAAACGTTTCATATCTAAATAGTTTTAAAATATGTCTTGTTTCAAAGCTTTAACTATTTGATCAAAACTTTTCGATTTCACAAAGAACGCATAAGTAAGTACAGTTTGCAATGAAGGATGATCTGCGAAATCTTTCATAGATGGACATCTTTAGAGAACATTAGCAGCACGTTTTTAGGGAAGATTCATTTCGGAAAATATTTGCAGCAGAAGTCGTATAAATGGTCTCTGAATGTGTATGTCTGTGACTACTAGCTTACATCATACTCTAGTCTAAGTATTAAGAAAACTTTCGAGAAAACGTTTCATATCTAAATAGTTTTAAAATATTTCTTGTTTCAAAGCTTTAACTATTTACTCAAAACTTTTCGATTTCATGAAGATTTATAAAAAAGAGTTTAGCTTTTTATAAAACTAGTTCCCAGTTTACACAAATTATAAATTCATAAACTTATTTCTTAATTTAAACTAATAAAGTAGCACAATTTTGTAAAACAAAATTTTCGTATGATATTTTTTTCCTAATCTTTGTCTATTAAGTATTTTGGTAGAATTTAAACTATTATTGTTTTGTTTTTGTTTTGTGTTTTTTACCATTACTTTAAAATATGTTAAATTAGTACTTAGTTTCAAAATATGCCAGTCACAAATACTAATAGCGTATTATTTTATTTTGTTTATAAACTATTACTTTTTCTTCTTTAGAATTTTAATTTTTTTTGTTAAATAATTTTGTCTAAAATAAATTTATTTAGTTGTTGTTTTTTTTTTAATATTAAACTATGTTTTTGTGTGTGGTTTACTATTAAATAGTAGTTGTTAAGACTGTTGTTGTTGATTTAAATATCAGATTTTTCAAATATTGCTTTTCAAAATTTCAAGTTTTATATTTATTTAGTTTAAGTAATTTAAAATAATTCGTTTTCGGTAACATGTTCAGTTTGTAATTTGTTAAACAGTTTGGTTTTTTTTTTTTTTTTTGTTTCTTCTTCAGGCAGTTATTTTGTTTACAGTTTTTAGAGCGGCTTTAAATAGTTTGTTTGGTAATTATCGTTTTATTTTCTTTATGTTTGTGTATTATTTCCGAATTTTAGTTCTTTTTTTTTAATCTTGTGGTTTGTATACTAAAAACGTATAATTTTACTTAAATTTTAACTTAATTTTTATATTTGTTTAAATATATAAATTTTAGAAATTTTGTAGAAAAATAATATATTTCTATAAAAAAAAATGTTTTCTTTTCTTAAAAATTGTTTTTTTTTTTTTTTTGCAAGTCCAATATTATGTGGAAGATTTACGTTGTTGTTTTCTTTATGTTTATTTAATAAAAATTTAGTTTAACTATTTGTTAACCAACAAAAAAATTTTCTTTCTTTTATGGTTAAATATTTTGTGTATTTTTTAAATTTCTTGTTTAAATTAGATTGTTGTTTTTTTTTTTTTTGGGTACCAAGACAAAATATTATAGTTTTTTGTAATTTTCGGTTTAATAAAAAGTTAACGTCTGTAAGTTTTATTGTTGTTTTTTATGGAAATTTCTGTTTAATTTATAATATTTTGGCCCAGTACTGTATGTATTTTTTTAAGGCAATGTTGTATTTTTAATATTTCTTTTTAGCATCCATACGTTGTTTATAATAATTAAAAAAAAACTATGTTGTTTTATTAAATAAAATAAATTCGAGTTTGTTATTAAAAAAAGAAAACAATTATAAGTAATAAGAGATAAACACAGAAGAGATTCTATATGCTAGAAATTAAAAAAAAAAAAAAAACAAAAACTTAAACCAACTTAAAATAATAAAATTCAAATTCTTAGAAAAAAATCTACATATAAAAGAAATAGTTTAAATTTAAGAAAAAAGATAAATTAAAAAGAAAATTTTAAATTCATAATTCTTTTTCCTGTTTTTATAATAAAATTCTACAATATTTTATCTGTTTTTTTTTCTGATTTCCAATACGTATAAGTGTTTTTAAGAAAGCATATGTTTTTTTGTTCTTCACAAACATTTAAATATGAATTGAAAAAATGTTAGTTAAATATGCTTTACTAATTATTTATATATTTATGTATTATGTATAATTGTATTCTTAAATTTTTGTTTAAGAAAAATTATAATTTTTTTATTATTCGTTTTATTTTAATACCTTTTTTTAAACTCCTTTTTATGGCTGTCTCCTACCTCCTCTTCCTTCCATTTTGTTTAGTCAAAACGATTGGTGGCAAAATTGTATATAATATCGGTAGTATGTTCATCTAATCCACAAATTTCCAAAATATTTTCCGAACGTGTTTCGGAATAAGTCATGGAACGTTTATATTTTAATAAATTTAGTATTATGAATCTGTAAATGAAATATAATTTATAACAATAAGTTATTTTCTTTTTAAAGAACCTTTAAATTGCAGTTTTATAGAAAAATTTTCTATAAATTTTCTTTATTTATAGAAAAATTTCGATAAGTTTTCTTTTTATAGAACATTTTTTTAATTTTTGGTAAATTTTCAACTATTTTACGCTGATACAGGGCCTCGCTCTAGTATTGTCACAAATGTCAACATCGCATGCAACGGCCCTAAAGCAAGGAGCGTGGCAACATACAAATATGTATCTTATATTTGTTAAACTGCCCTTCAAATCTCCAATCTGATGAAGCTGGTTAAAGATACTCAAAGAAAATAGTAATAGGATGTGATGCCAACAGCCACCAGGTAGCTTGGGGTAGCAAAAATCGCAAGGGACAAGCCCACATGGATTTCTTTAATACTAAAAACATGATTATATTGAACTAGAGAAGAAGTATTAGATAAAACTATAATGCGCTGTTGTAAGTTAGTTGCCTAGTCCACGTACGCCGTCACTGCGTGGATCGTCAGTCTGAACGTACATACTCGTGGGATTCAAAATAGATGAATCAAATTACAACCAAGGTCGACCTGTTAGGTAAAGACATTCCGGACGTCACGGTCAACGAGAATGATGAGGAGTCTGACAGTACTTGGGAGGACGGTGAAGTTACCCTTACTGACCTCAATGCCAGAATTGTTGAGCAGAAGGTCAGGTACTGACTGGCTTAAACGTGGAGGGTCTTCTGGAGGTGGCATGTGACTCCTTTGGTCAAACTAGTGCCACACAGAGTTGAGGTCAGACTGATAAGATAACATTTGGGAGAGGACCGTCAACAGGTCTTTCGTGGTCGAGAATTAATACAGGCCGAACGAAGGAGGAGAAGGATAAGAATGGGACTTTGGGGTCTCTTGCCTTTCTGTCGAAAATAGCAAAGGCTGATTCCTCAAAGTTCTCGTCAAGGGAGAGGCTCCTACTTAGAAAGCACCGACAAAGTGTTGCTAAATTAGAGAGAATATACGGCCCAGTTGGTGACGTTCTGGGTTAGTCCACGCCATGGGGACAACGGGTGGATGCTGCCATCAACCCGGCTAACACTCAAAAGAGTGATGGGTCGATGGCATCATCAACCTGCAGTCGACCAAAAGGCCAAGAGAGTGGTACCATGAAAACCAAGGTGCTCATGTCTTCGGAGCGAGCTGCGGAGGTCAAAGGTCTACCACCGAAAAACTCTTGCAAAGTGGCCACGACACCAGGAAAGGTAAAGAGAGCTGGTAAACTTCCGACCCGCTCTTATACTGACCTCTGCAAGAACGTCAGTAAGGGAATGGGGCTCCGGTGTGACCGACCCTCCAAACCAGTGGTCTGAAAGTCACCAAACTCAACGAAGAGGTCTGATCTAAGGAGGGCAATTAAGAAAGCCAGATCTGGAGATGATCAACCCTCTTCATCCAGCAAGAAGATGAAGAAGTCAACCAGCCTGGATGTATGCCTTCAAGTGGCAATCATTGATCGGAATGATCCAGATGGGAGGATCAGTACCGATTTCTGGCAATCAATTGAAGGTAGGCTGATTGATCAAATCGCCACCTTAGAGGGCAATTCGGAGGATGTTGAGATTGTGAAGGTTGTCAATTGCGGAAACAAGAACTCCTTGGAGTTCTTATAATCGGCAATTGTCAAATGTAGCGACATTAACTCAGCAGTAAAGCTTGAGGTGATACAGGCTTCCGAAATGCCACTACTGTCAATAGTAACAGTGTGGATTCCACCACCCGTTAGGACGGTGCAAGCCGCAAGACCGCAGTATACTAGGATGAGTGTAGTAAGAAAATCGTTTGAAAGCAAAACGAGACTCCTGGAAACTTTTCTGCAAACAGGTAGACAGCGTAAATGACGTATCGAAGAAAAAAATTCTTATCCAAAACTCATGCCCAACCGGAATCTATAATCGATGACATGGGCAGGAGGCTGGAGTATATGGTAGAGCAAATTAAACTCCTAATTGACTCTCTTTTTGTACCTGGTATATGAACCGATATTACAGAGATAGCTATTACATCTGGCAATCAAGTGTTTTGCACCGTACAAAGCTACTGGATCGGATGGTATTTTCCCGGCACTTTTGCTTTAAATTCGTCCCTATTAAATGGCAGGTCACTAAAGTTCTACCTTGCAACGGAAAGTCAATAGCATGTTAATAAGCAGTATACCAGATAAAGACCTCAAATACATATAAGCAGCATGCTTATGTAAGGGAACGATCGGTGGAAACCGCGGTAAATGAAGATTTCCAATTTATATTTAAATCCTGCGATATCAAACTGTATATCGTCACCAAAAACGCAAACGGCCCTATCTAACATTTTTAAAATTTTACAGGAGAAGCAAAAAACTATTGAAATTGAAAAGTTTGTTTCTATCAACGCGATTTATTTGTAGTAAATAAACATATTGTTTAATATGACTTTTTACCTTTAAAATTTTTATTTTTATTATTTTTTTTTTTTTTTTTTGTAGATAGGGCCTTTTGTATTTTGTCAATAAAATCGCTAATTTTGGTCGGAGGAGTCCAATAATCAACAATAAAATCGATTTTGAATTTTTGGTTAGTTAGGGCCGTTTGCGTTTCAGGTGACGATATACACTTCAACAACATAAACATTGATACTCTTATATAATGGTTATTCAAGTTTTATATTGACCAGGTACACCGTAACTGGATAAACTACATGCAGAGCAACAGATGAATAACCTGCGAGTTGTACGATATAACTATCAGGGAAGAGGTATTTCGCGGTACAACACATTTTGTCCCCTTTACCCTGGATAACCACGATTTATAGCCTCCTAAGGATCCTAAGCGAGAAAGGAACTAGACCTATCGGATATATAGACGATATCGTAATACTTCTAGAGGGGAAAGATTCCAAATTACCAAATTAAATGTTTATAAAGATTATAGGAAATTCCCCTTTGTTTAGAACAATTTTCAAAAATTCCCATTAAAATAAAAAACTTTTCTTCCACTTGAAGTCGGTTTACTTTTTAACGTATTCTACAGAACATAATTTTAAACATGTTCTACTTACTTAGCATTAGGATTTTTAGTTTCACGATACTTGTCCAAAAACTTGCATAGAAAATCAGAATTTTGTTTAGGATTACCACGGCCAGCCGTTGGAACAATACACAAGAAAACATCATAAACTTGTTCGCTAGACAAAGCATTCAAAATAGGGGTGACTAAGCGTTGATTATTCTTTTGATTCTAAACAAGAAAAAGAAAACAACAGAAATAGTAAATTAAAACAAGTTTCTCAACAAAAACAAGGACACACATATTAAATATAAACTAACCTCAACCACGTCATAGGAAGTAAAACCCAATTGTGTGGAATAGGTTTTCTCAAATAAAATCTTCTTCAATTTCATTTTATCCTCATACCAGTGGAAAACATCTACCTTTGATTCACGTTTCGAATAGCCAAAGGATAAAGCAAGACAGGCATCGTAATAACTTAAACGCTTGTGATTTTTAAGCATTTCTAAAAAAATAAATAGAATACAATTAAATATATTTCATTATTCAATAAATTTGTCTTACTTTTCTTATAATTGCTTTGCAAATTCACAGTTATATGCATTCGTAAATTACCGCCATCGGTATTCCAATGGAATGAATCTTTATAGAGTTTATCCAAATATTCCAATTTTAATGCCTCTACTCTCTTGGTGGGTATTTTAGACAAATCACTGACACCAATATCTCGCAGGCTCATTAGCAAATGCACCGGATGAACACGGGACTTCTTGGCAAATTCTTTATTTTCCAACATTTTTTGACAGATTTTCAAAATTTTAGGATTATCGAAATGATTAAAACGGGCCATTTTACGCCAACATTTTAAAATTTGCAAATACGACATGGAGGGCAAAACCGCTTCCATTATAACTGGATGACGCAATAGATGACCAGGAACTTGTGTATAGGGCAGTTTAAATTTCCGTATAATTTTAATGGCTTCATGTTTTTTCTTGGTGGTGCGTAATTTTGAAATGGCTACAACCACGGAGGTGGGAGTGGCCGACTCTGTAGAATTGGCTTTTACTAAAGGTTTCTGCTCTGGCACCTCAGTCTTAACCGTAACCATTTCGGTCTCATTAGCATTTGAGTCGGTGGCTTGCATACCATTACTGCTAGTTGCTGGTTGTACTGCAACAGTTGCTGCAGTTACAGCTGAAGCCTCAGCATCTTTGATTAACTCCGTACATGTCTTAAAGAATGGTGTAACCACTTCTGCTGAGCCCACAGTTCGGTCGGGTATATGACACAATTTGATTAAAGCCTTATGGGTGAAACCATGTAAACCACGATGTGCTAACCACATTGTTCGTATAGCTTCTGGTGTCTGCATTTCATACCAGGCTGTAACAGCTTTGCGCACGGTGCGTGAAAAACCTTTATGGTTTAGATCTTTGCCGATTAATGAGGCATATTTGCAGAAAAGAAATAGATCATCATCGGTGCGAATTAATACTGGAAATGCATGCCGCATCGCTGTTTTCCATTGAATATCGACGGTGGAGGCAAAGTAAGCAGCATAAACGAAAAGAGTCTAATGGATAGAAAGTTAGAAATATTTATATTATTGAAATACATACATAGAATTAAAATAGTACTGAACTACAACTGAACTAGAACCTAAAGAGCTTAATTACAATTGAACTAGAACTGGACTAGAATTGAACTAGAACTGAACTAGAACTGAACTAGAACTGAACTAGAACTGAACTAGAATTGAACTAGAACTGAACTAGAACTGAACTAGAACTGAACTTGAACTGAACTAGAACTAAACTAGAACTGAACTAGAACTGAACTAGAACTGAACTAGAACTGAACTAGAACTGAACTAGAACTGAACTAGAACTGAACTAGAACTGAACTAGAACTGAACTAGAACTGAACTAGAACTGAACTAGAACTGAACTAGAACTGAACTAGAACTGAACTAGAACTGAACTAGAACTGAACTAGAACTGAACTAGAACTGAACTAGAACTGAACTAGAACTGAACTAGAACTGAACTAGAACTGAACTAGAACTGAACTAGAACTGAACTAGAACTGAACTAGAACTGAACTAGAACTGAACTAGAACTGAACTAGAACTAGAACTAGAACTTGAACTAGAACTGAACTAGAACTGAACTAGAACTGAACTAGAACTGAACTAGAACAGAACTAGAACTGAACTAGAACTGAACTAAAACTGAACTAGAACTGAACTAGAACTGAACTAGAACTGAACTAGAAACTGAACTAGAACTGAACTAGAACTAAACTAGAACTGAACTAGAACTGAACTAGAACTGAACTAGAACTGAACTAGAACTGAACTAGAACTGAACTAGAACTGAACTAGAACTGAACTAGAACTGAACTAGAACTGAACTAGAACTGAACTAGAAACTGAACTAGAACTGAACTAGAACTGAACTAGAACTGAACTAGAACTGAACTAGAACTGAACTAGAACTGAACTAGAACTGAACTAGAACTGAACTGAACTAGAACTGAACTAGAACTGAACTAGAACTGAACTAGAACTGAACTAGAACTGAACTAGAACTGAACTAGAACTTAACTAGAACTGAACTAGAACTGAACTAGAACTGAACTAGAACTGAACTAGAACTGAACTAGAACTGAACTCGAACTGAACTAGAACTGAACTAGAACTGAACTAGAACTGAACTAGAACTGAACTAGAACTGAACTAGAACTGAACTAGAACTGAACTAGAACTGAACTAGAACTGAACTAGAACTGAACTAGAACTGAACTAAAACTGAACTAAAACTGAACTAGAACTGAACTAGAACTGAACTAGAACTGAACTAGAACTGAACTAGAACTAGAACTGAACTAACACTAAACTAGAATACAAATAATCTAGATCTGAACTATAACTAAGCTAGAATTAGAATAAGTACTGAAACAGAACTGAACAATAAATGAACTAGAAATGAAATAGAACGTATCTGTAAGTAGAACTACAACTGAATTTTAACAAATATAAAACTAAACTAGAATTAATCTAGAACTGATATGCAACTTAAAAAGAACTAAAATAAAAATAAACTAGAACTGAATTTGAAATTTGTTGAAATTTCTTAATAATCGTCTAGTTCTTTGAGTAACTTCAACGTATTACCATAATGAATTTATTTTTAACAATCACATTCAAATATTTTTTAATGATTTCACAAATTATCAATACTTTCAACACAAATGTCAGGTAAAATTCCAATTAATTCATACTAACCTCATCACGGCGTACTAAAGAAACCTCATGCAACAACTCTCTCATCAAAGGAAGAAATTCGCTATCATTTATATCCTTTACCAGCTCTGCCACCAAAGGAAAATAAGTTTCCACTTTAAGAGAACCACGCAAATAGATGTACACCGGTTCAAAGGAGCCCAAAAAGCAGAAACGTTTCAATTTTTGTTTGGAATCCATTTTAAGCAGCAATTCGGTAGTGAATTTCTTCTAAAGGGGAGTTTCTCTAGCCAGCACAACTGAAAGAGAAATAAAACAAAATACCAATGATTAGATTTAACGAAAAGCAACAATTTTTTTGCGTAGAGTAGACAAAAAGAAATCAAAAGCATTTACCTTGTCCGCCTGAAGACCAAAAACAAAATGTGCTTTTTCCCAAAAATTGAAAAAAAAAATGACAAAAATAATTCGCAAAACAGAAGCAGAGCAAGGAATTCAAATGAGCGACTTTGAATGAACAGTAAACGCCACTACAAAAACAAACGATAAAACTAAAAACAACAACACTGAGAAGTGGAAGAAGCAGCTACAGAACAACAACAATAAATACAAAAACAATTCACAAAACCAACAACAAATTATTTTGCGGACTTTTTCAATTCATAAATGGGGGCGCTGCCTCTTCTTTTATGTTGTTATTGTTGTTGCTGTTGTACTGTTTTTTGTGGTTATTACTGTCGCTGCTGCTAATGTAGATGATTTCTTGTTGTAGCTACAATTTTATTTAATTTCGTGTTTAAATTATATTTCTAATGCCTCACTTAAATGCGTTTCAATTTGATTTCTTTTATTTTTGGAGTTTTGCTTCACTCGCTACTTCCACACAGTTAAATTATTCTTGTATTTTGTTGTCCAAATTCCGCTACTTTTTCTTTACATTTTTTTTGTATCTCATCTTTTTTGTTTTCGTTTTTTGTCTGTCTTTTTCAAACAAATTTCCTACTCACCGTAATTGTTTCTTCGTCCATGGTAAAAAAATGAAGAGTTTGTAGTTGTTGTTTTTGGGAAAAAAAAAAAACATTGAATTGAAATTTTTAATAAGAAATGTTTAATTTTGCAACAAGTTTATTTAAATTAGCTTTACTTACTTGCTACTTTCTTTTTGTTTTCTTCTTTGCAATTTGTTTTTATTTATTTGTTAATTATTATTATTTTTCGATTATTTATTATTTTTCGTTTGCTGAGCGTAGTGAAAAAAATGTTTGTATACTGACTGACGGACAACAAGAAAAAGAAGATGATACAATAAAATAACAACAAAAATGGCAACAAAAATAAATAAATAAACAAATCAACGTCAAAGTGTTGCCAGATTGATGTGAAAAGAAAAACGCTGCCTCAACGAATTCCAATTAGATTGATTAGATTTTATTGAAACTATTCAATAACATCTACAATCTCCTCATTTTAATCAATATTTTGGAAAACAAGTTTCCGAATGGAATGAATTTTTATCCACTTATTGTATTCTTTGAACGGAACAGAAGGAAAAAAATATTCAAGCACTACTATTTTTACAAAATCTGTATGACACTGAACAAATGTCACGAATGATGGTCTCAAATTGCCCATGTGTATTTTGAAGACTTCAAATATTTCCAAATATTTTCTATAAAAAGAGAATTTAACAAAACTTATCTCTAAAGAAATTTCCAAATATTTTCTATAAAAAGAGAATTTAACAAAACTTATCTCTAAAGAATTGTATTAACTTCTGTATAAAAACAGAATTAGCAATTTGTATAAAAGTTAAAATTTTTAATAAAATCTTCATCGTGTAATTTGTTACACATTTACGGTATTGCCATACTATATTATCATTCAAGTAATTGTAATAGATTAATAAGACTTTGTTGTGCTTAGCAAAGACAACAATCATAGTGGATGTATTAAATGTGATACCATATTAATGAAAAATTATATCTTGTGGAAAACAAATACGTTCTTAGAAAGAAACAAAAGTGATCACAGATTCACTTGTTTTTGCTATCTATAGGTATCTCTTATAGTTTTCGAGAAAAACATTTATGCTTTCACTCAAAAAGTCGAATTTTAGTATAAAATAGTGGCCTCCAGTAGGTTAGCGGTAGTGTTCTAGTCTGGTAGACCGGAGGTGGTGGGTTCGATTCCCACCTGAGGCACTGGTTATGGAGCGCACAACAGGCCCGATAGTGGCCTAGGTGTATTTCTTCGGATTTGATGTATATATATCCTCCTATCAAGTAACTAACTAACTAAACTAACTAACTACTAACTAACTAACTAACTAACTAACTAACTAACTAACTAACTAACTAACTAACTAACTAACTAACTAACTAACTACTAACTAACTAACTAACTAACTAACTAACTAACTAACTAACTAACTAACTAACTAACTAACTAACTAACTACTAACTAACTAACTACTAACTAACTAACTAACTAACTAACTAACTAACTAACTAACTAACTACTAACTAACTAACTAACTAACTACTAACTACTAACTAACTAACTAACTAACTAACTAACTAACTAACTAACTAACTAACTACTAACTAACTAACTAACTAACTAACTACTAACTAACTAACTAACTAACTAACTACTAACTAACTAACTAACTAACTAACTAACTAACTAACTAACTAACTAACTAACTAACTAACTACTAACTAACTAACTAACTAACTAACTAACTAACTAACTAACTAACTAACTAACTAACTAACTAACTACTAACTAACTAACTAACTACTAACTAACTAACTAACTAACTAACTAACTACTAACAACTAACTAACTAACTAACTAACTAACTAACTACTAACTAACTAACTAACTAACTAACTAACTAACTAACTAACTAACTAACTAACTAACTAACTACTAACTAACTAACTAACTAGACTAACTAACTAACTAACTACTAACTAACTAACTAACTAACTAACTAAACTAACTAACTACTAACTAACCTAACTACTAACTAACTAATAACTAACTAACTAACTAACTAACTAACTAACTACTACGAACTAACTAACTAACTAACTACTAACTAACTAACTAACTACTAACTAACTAACTAACTAACTAACTAACTACTAACTAACTAACTAACTAACTAACTAACTAACTAACTAAACTAACTAACTAACTAACTAACTAACTAACTAACTAACTACTAACTAACTAACTAACTAACTACTAACTAACTAACTAACTAACTAACTAACTAACTAACTAACTAACTAGTATGTATCTCTTCTAGTTTTCGAGAAAAACGGAAAAACGGAAACAAAGAAAATCTGTGATCACTTTCATTTCCCACTGAAAACCGTTTTCTGAGTGGAAACATAAAAGTCCACTTTTCACGGAAACTATAAGAGATAGAGCGAAAACAAAGAAAATCTGTGATCACTTGCATTTCCCACTGAAAACCGTTTTCTGAGTGAAAACATAAAAGTCCATTTTTCTAGGAAACTATAAGAGATAGAGCGAAAACAAAGAAAATCTGTGATCACTTTCATTTCCCACTGAAACCCGTTTTCTGAGTGAAAACGTAAAAGTCTATTTTTCTAGGAAACTATAAGAGATAGAGCGAAAACAAAGAAAATCTGTGATCACTTTCATTTCCCACTGAAAACCGTTTTCTGAGTGAGAACATAAAAGTCCATTTTTCTCAGAAACTATAAGAGATAGAGCGAAAACAAAGAAAATCTGTGATCACTTTCATTTCCCACTGAAAACCGTTTTCTGAGTGAAAACATAAAAGTCCATTTTTCTCGGAAACTATTTGAGATAGAGCGAAAACAAAGAAAATCTGTGATCACTTTCATTCCCCACTGAAAACCGTTTTCTGAGTCAAAACATAAAAGTCCATTTCTCTCGTAAACTATAAGAGATAGAGCGAAAACAAAGAAAATCTGTGATCAATTGAATTTCCCACTGAAAACCGTTTTCTGAGTGAAAACATAAAAGTCCATTTTTCTTGGAAACTATAAGAGATAGAGCGAAAACAAAGAAAATCTGTGATCACTTTCATTTCCCACTGAAAACCGTTTTCTGAGTGAAAACATAAAAGTCCATTTTTCTCAGAAACTATAAGAGATAGAGCGAAAAGAAAATCGGTGATCACTTTCATTTCCACTGAAAATGGTTTTCTGAGTGAAAACATAAAAGTCCATTTTTCTCGGAAACTATAAGGGATAGAGCGAAAACAAAGAAAATCTGTGATCACTTTCATTTCCCACTGAAAACCGTTTTCTGAGTGAAAACAAAAGTCCATTTTTCTCAGAAACTATAAGAGATAGAGCGAAAACAAAGAAAATCTGTGATCAATTGCATTTCCCACTGAAAACCGTTTTCTGAGTGAAGACATAAAAGTCCATTTTTCTCTGAAACTATAAGAGATAGAGCGAAAACAAAGAAAATCTGTGATCACTTTCATTTCCCACTGAAAACCGTTTTCTGAGTGAAAACATAAAAGTCCATTTTTCTCGGAAACTATTAGAGATAGAGCGAAAACAAAGAAAATCTGTGATCACTTTCATTCCCCACTGAAAACCGTTTTCTGAGTGAATACATAAAAGTCCATTTCTCTCGTAAACTATAAGAGATAGAGCGAAAACAAAGAAAATCTGTGATCACTTTCATTTCCCACTGAAAACCGTTTTCTGAGTGAAAACATAAAATTCCATTTTTCTCAGAAACTATAAGAGATAGAGCGAAAACAAAGAAAATCGGTGATCACTTTCATTTCCCACTGAAACCCGTTTTCTGAGTGAAAACATAAAAGTCTATTTTTCTCGTAAACTATAAGAGATAGAGCGAAAACAAAGAAAATCTGTGATCAATTGAATTTCCCACTGAAAACCGTTTTCTGAGTGAAAACATAAAAGTCCATTTTTCTTGGAAACTATAAGAGATAGAGCGAAAACAAAGAAAATCTGTGATCACTTTCATTTCCCACTGAAAACCGTTTTCTGAGTGAAAACATAAAAGTCCATTTTTCTCAGAAACTATAAGAGATAGAGCGAAAAGAAAATCGGTGATCACTTTCATTTTCCACTGAAAATGGTTTTCTGAGTGAAAACATAAAAGTCCATTTTTCTCGGAAACTATAAGGGATAGAGCGAAAACAAAGAAAATCTGTGATCACTTTCATTTCCCACTGAAAACCGTTTTCTGAGTGAAAACAAAAGTCCATTTTTCTCAGAAACTATAAGAGATAGAGCGAAAACAAAGAAAATCTGTGATCAATTGCATTTCCCACTGAAAACCGTTTTCTGAGTGAAGACATAAAAGTCCATTTTTCTCTGAAACTATAAGAGATAGAGCGAAAACAAAGAAAATCTGTGATCACTTTCATTTCCCACTGAAAACCGTTTTCTGAGTGAAAACATAAAAGTCCATTTTTCTCGGAAACTATTAGAGATAGAGCGAAAACAAAGAAAATCTGTGATCACTTTCATTCCCACTGAAAACCGTTTTCTGAGTGAATACATAAAAGTCCATTTCTCTCGTAAACTATAAGAGATAGAGCGAAAACAAAGAAAATCTGTGATCACTTTCATTTCCCACTGAAAACCGTTTTCTGAGTGAAAACATAAAAGTCCATTTTTCTCAGAAACTATAAGAGATAGAGCGAAAACAAAGAAAATCGGTGATCACTTTCATTTCCCACTGAAACCCGTTTTCTGAGTGAAAACATAAAAGTCTATTTTTCTCGGAAACTATAAGAGATAGAGCGAAAACAAAGAAAATCTGTGATCACTTTCATTTCCCACTGAAAACCGTTTTCTGAGTGAAAACATAAAAGTCTATTTTTCTCGGAAACTATAAGAGATAGAGCGAAAACAAAGAAAATCTGTGATCACTTTCATTTCCCACTGAAAACCGTTTTCTGAGTGAAAACATAAAAGTCTATT